TGTACAGAACATGGGGGCAATTATTGCAATCTTTTGTAGAGAAAATGGAGAGCAAATGATCCTTTATATGAGACAATGGTGAAGGCCTAATAAAGGAAGGCTCTCCTGATTGCCAACTAGTTTTAAGGATACATAGATAACCAACCATTAAGATCATTCTTAATGTTTTGAATTGAACTTCTTCTATACAGAATTACCCGTATTTCATTTCATAATTGTCATCACCAAATAATAATCGCACCCTCATTTGTTGAGTGTCAAAATTTGTATTTTTGTTTTCATCACATAATAGTTGCACTCTCATTTGAGGCTGATTCTCCCTTCCTTCCATCTCTGCAGGCAAGGCAGTTTAAAACCTACAAAATTGAGGTCTCTGAAGCACAACTCTTCACTCCCTTCTTCTTCCTCTGTGGCAAGGCAGTTTAAAAACAAAAAAAACAAAAAACAAAAATTGAGTTCTCTGGAACTCGAATCTCCCCTTTCTCCAAGGACCTCAAATTCAGGAGGAGGGAAGAATGCCACTTCAGAGACCTCAATTTTATTGTTTCTAAACTGTCTTGTCTTTGGAGAAAGAAGTAAGGAAGGGAAAATCAGCACCAACTAACTCTATAGTTAAAAAACAAATAAACAGAAATTCTAGCAAAAATGTTTCATGAAGATCAGGTAGGGTTTCTTCCCAGAAGACAGCTAAATCAGAATGTAAGAACAGTTTTAAATATAGTAGAGGTGGCTGAACAAGACCCCAACAGAGAAGTTCTTATTTTTAGATGCTGGGAAAACTTGATAGTGTTAGTTGGGAATTCATAGAAAATGTATTTATCTTCTATGTGTTGGGTCAACAATTTAAAAGGGCAGTCAGCGCTATATATTCAAAACAAAAAGCTAAATTAAGGATAAATGGTCAAATGCCAAAGTACATAGAGATACAAAGAGGAACAAGACAAGTTTGTCCATTGTTACCTTTATTGTTCATATGGATGGTAGAAGTATCAAATATTAGGATTAGGGAAGGGGTGAAAATAAAAGGACAAGAATTTAAAGTCAAGGCTTATGCCGATGATATGGTGTGTATCACAGAAGACCCAATAAGGAGTATTCGATGCTTAATGGAAACTATTGATAGATATGAATCTGTAACAGGATTCAAAATAAATCAAGAGAAATCCATGTTCTTGACTAAAAATATATCAAGAACAATTTTGAAAAACTGGAGAATTTGTCAGCCTGTAAGACTGTAACAAAAGTAAAATATTGAGGATTATGGATTACTAATAAAAATAATGATTTATACCAAAATAATTATGAAAAAACATGGAAAGAGGTAAAAAGAAGACCTGGAAAGATGGCAAAGAATCCAACTAACTTGGATGCGGAGAATAGCTGTGATAAAAATAATAGTCTTACCAAAACGTTTTTCTTATTTCAAAATCTACAAATAATTAAGGGAGTGAAGGTCTTTGAACAATACAGGAGGGATTTGGTCCAATCTATATGGAATGGGAAAAAGCTAAAATTGCATATAGGAACTTAATAAATGCTAAAGACAGAGGGGGCTAAGCACTTCCAGATCTTAGGTATGAAGCAAATGATGACAAATGATGACACTCAGCTGGTGCTGAGGATGGAGGGCAGACCGGACTCTGTACCTGATTATTTTCATCAGTGCCTCGAGGCCGTTACTGAATGGCTGCGTGCCAGCAGGTTGAGGGTGAATCCAGCAAAGATGGAGATCCTATGGCTGGGTCGACCGGGCAGTGGGGACATCCAGCTGTCTACCCTGGATGGCGAGGCACGACGCCCGTCATCATTGGTAAAGTGTCTGGGAGTCCTTTTGGACTCTTTGCTGACGATGCAGGCCCAGGTCTCCTCCATTAGCAGAAATGCCTTTTTTCATCTGTGGCAGGCTAAACAGCTGGCCCTCTACATTGGCCTTCCTCTGTTGGTGATCCGGAAGCTCAAGTTGGTACAAAATGCAGCTGCTCGGATTCTTGCAGGAATTCCAATGACATGCCACATAACACCAATCTTACTGCAGCTGCATTGGTTACCAATTGAGCACCGGATCACTTTCAAAGTGATGGTACTTACCTTTAAGGCCTTGCATGGTCTGGGGCCGATGTACCTGAGGGACCGTGCCTTGGGTCTTGTCGCTGCCGCTTTTCTTGTTGGGCTTGGGTCCTGGATCTGCAGGTTGCTGCTTTCTTCGTTTACCAACCGGCTTGGATTCTCGTAAGTGCGGATTTCCCCTCTCCTTGACTTCGGACTGTTTCTGACGAACGACGCTGCCTTTTGGACTTTGGAACCTTCAACTGGGATTTCTTTGACTTTGGACTGCTTCTGGACGATGGCTTCTCTTCACGGCCCTTTGTTTGCTTTTTATCTTTGAACTGTGTGATTTTGCTGTGTTTTGGAAGAACTCTTATTTAATCCGGATTTTTTGCCAGTTTAATCCGGTTTATTTTCCAAGTTTGTTTTTCAAGCTGCAAATTGCTGCAAACTTTGAGTTTTGACCAGAGGCACTGAAGCAAGTGTCTCTGAGTCCTGTTTACTTTGGTTTAATAAACTATTGTTTTGGATATACTCCTGTGTATATCCTCTTTAAGGTGTCTGGGTTCCGACACTGTAAGTTCTTTGACATCGGTTATATTCATAAATGTGAAATGTGTGTTCAAAACTATTTATACTAATATAAATTTGGGTACATTTTAAACCTGTAGATTATTGAAAAAGAGATGGATCTTCCCCAGGGGTGAGAAAAGCAGTATATAAATAACTGTAAATAAATACATTCTTAACATTGGGTGGTAGTGGACAGACAAATGTTGGAAAGCTATGCTATGCTGTACTGTGTTTTGTGCTCTTCTTAAAATTTAGCAGTGCTATTATCTGTGGCATCAGAACATTTTTGCATCTGCCTGGCATTAGGTGTGGTGCTGCCTGTGTTGGTTTTGGACAGATGAATTTCACTAGCTGCTGTGTTCTACTCATGTGCCTGCTGAATGATTCAGCATGGAACAAACATACACATGTTTTTCCACCTCCCTCCCCGCTTATATGGGGCAATTCAAACCTCTCTTTCAAAGAGACATACAAGAACAGTGTTCTTGGTTTGCTTAGCACCACATATCATACGATCCAGAAACTCCCCAAATGAGTCACACTGATATTTCATCCCAACATAAGTTACCTTTCCACAAAAAAGTTTCAATAGAAATAGGTAAAAATTGCAAAGACTTTTCAAACCATTTTTGAACTCATCACATATATATTGCTGAAATATTAAATGAAAAAAAAAACTTCAAAGGGAAATTAACTTGATGTGGGGTTTGCTTCAACCTGCACATTGAATAACATTCATTCTCCTTGTACAACTTTTGGACATTGCTGGCGAAGCTAGACATGCTTTATCTGCCTAAACAGATACAGTTAATAAGGATGGTCAGGGATATAAAAATAGAAATTTAAAGGAAGTAGATATGCTTAGCCTGAGAGAAGATTACACCATGTAGATTTTTGTTCCTGTGTAATAAATGTCATTTACTAATTGGTTCCATCATAAAATATGGAAAAAGTTTATGAAACTGCAAAAACTTTGTTCCTACGGGACATCCTGCAGCACATTTTGCTATATTTTTTCAATGAATATCTCATAGAGGCTGAACCAATTCAACATAGTTTGTGGCAGCCACAAAAACAAAGTTTCTGGAGTATAACAACTACTTTAAAAGTAAATCCTGCACAATTAAACAGGAAATAACATTTTTAAACCAGGAACAGATTTTTTTTCTAATTTTGTTATATAATGTTATCACCCTGAAAAGAGCAAAGACTTGTTCTCTGTAGTTCCACATTAGATTAGATAAAATGGCCTTGAGCATTAAGATCTGAAGGATCTTCGTCTCCTAGTTATAGTCTCCTAGTCTTCCACAATTGCCCACCCCTGCCAGAGTCATCCATATGCATGGGTACAATGTCTATTTATTTATTATTTTATTTTATTTACAGTATTTATATACCGCTTTTCTCATCCCTAGGGGGACTCAATGTCTAAAAAATGGCATAAAGACATCTAATGATGTGATGCTCTTGGGATCACAGAACAACCACAGCACAGAACAACTGGATACTAGGGGTGTGTGAATCTATTCTGGTATAGTTTTGAATTTTGGGTCCCCCTCCTCCCCGGTTCTGTTTTTGGAAAGATTCTGGGAGATTAGCAGGGGGCCATTCAGATTTCTAATTCAGGACGTGGAGTTCCATTTCAATTACGGGAAGAATCTTTATGAAAACAGAATGGGGCGGGGTGACGAAATTCAAAGCGAAAACAGAAAGGATTCTGTGTTGTTTTATACACCCCTACCAGAGATTGAATTGGATTGCACATTGTATTTACTTCAGGATGTGAGGGAGAAAGACAAAGTATTGTGACTTCAGTTGTAGGAGTGAGAAAAAGCCTACAACAGTGAGGCTTTGGAGGTCTCCATTCAAGAATACAAAAGTGCCTCAGCAACCATACATCATAAAAGTAATACATCAAGAATTTCTATGACTTCATTTTCCAAAGCAGACTCACCTTGTCAATATTTATCACATTGATGTGGAACATGGTCCTCCCTGAAATCTACACACAACTCAAATCCATGTGTCTTGTCTTGCGTGCTGAAAATGATCTACCAATCAATGTCCCCACAGACATAATCAGTGTGCATCTGTTCTTGCTTACAAGAGTTTGGCATAAAGTTCTTGGACTGTGCCACTGACATATAATTAATAATCTTAAAAAGAGTTTCGTGTGAATGAATGTCTGCATACCTCATGGCAAAATCAGAACACAACTGAGTTATCCCTCCCCCCCCCCCCAATGTGACTTTGACATCAGCTGAACTTGCTGAATCTGAATACATTGATTCGGCCGTATAGATGAAGCCTATATGAGAAGTTGGAATTACTTCCATGCAGAGAAACAAAAGACTGAAGAATAATTTTAAAATATGTTTTACCTTGCCTCCTCTTGTTCCACGATTACCAGGAGTACCTGGTGCCCCCCTTTCTCCATTGCTGCCCTGTGTGAAAAGGAAGAGATCACAGTTTTGTAATATTTTACATATTAGACTCTGCTATTAATCTGACTGTCACCCATAGCCAAGAGCTAAAACATGTATTATAGGTATTCACAATATATTTAATATCTGATGGTCTGTTTGAACTCAGGTCATGTAGAGCTCAGGGGAAATTTTGCATATGAGATTATTCTCAAAAGACAAATTCAGGCAGATATGAGGGCATCCCTAAGAATCAAAGGTAGAGAGGGCTCTTCAAAAATTTGTCAGATAACCCAGTTCAAAGAAGATATTTTGGATCATCTGCCTTGATATTCTGGGTTATATGCCTGTGTGGAAGGCATATAACCCATTGTCAGCCATTATTGGTGTTCTGGAGGATTGCACCATGATGTCACACATGCAACTGTGAGCAGTGATGTCAACTGGAAGTGATGTCACATCACTTTGGTCACAGGATTTACACTGCCCTATATCCCGAGATCTGATCCCAGATCATCTTCTTATCTCAGATTATCTGGCAGTTGTAGATCAGGCATGGGCAAATTTCAGCCCTCCAGGTGTTTTGGACCAACTCCCAGAAATTCCAGCCAGCTTACCGGCTGTTAGGAATTGTAGAAGTCTAAAACACCTTGAGGGCCGAAGTTTGCTCATGCCTTGTGTAGACTCATATAATCCAGTTCAAATCAGATAATCTGAAATCACATCCTGGGATATAGGGCAGTGCAAATCCAGCCTAGGATTTTTTTAAAAGCATGCTTGAACATCTTATGAAGCAGAAGGAGAAAAATGTTCAGTCTCCAAACTGATTTTCTGGATGAACATTTGGCAGGGGATGCTGAAAGGATGCTCAGTGGATGCATTGTGGCCTGTGCTGGAGCTTCCAAAAGGCTACGAGCACAGTAGCTACTCTGTCAGCATATGGTCACTCATCGGATCTCGATTTTTCCTCACTTTTATTGAAATCATCTTACAAAATGTATACCTAAATGTCACACTTTCAGGTATAACATTGCTTTCCATCGATTAGTGTTTCCTGTTTAGCACCATTTTGGGGCAGAACTGGATCAGATGTTCATCGGTTTGCAATCTTCATGGGGCACCATTGCCATCTCCCTTTCCTTGCACTTATCAATGCAGGGAAAAGGGAGAAGATCAGGCCTATATCACAATTGCTGCTGCCAGATGTCTGCAGACCTCCATGAGAACTCCTGGCTGTTGTGGGTGCCCCACGCTGACATTAGCAGAATAGCCTGAATAAACATGGAAAAGGAGTGGTGGTGGATCTCCTTGACTACCGACATTCCAGATGACCATGGTCATGTCTTTGAACGAATCTTAATTCGAGCAGATCACCTGTTACAGTCTTTGAAGATTGGAGCAATTTACATTAAGGAGAAGTGAGCATACATTATCCAGTTTAATAAATAACAAAAGAATGAAGTATGTATTGGAAGTCAAGCCTTGTTTATCCCTATTTTGGTTTTTTTGTGTGTGTTGGTTTTTAAAGCACTATATGTTAAGGTACTTTTCAGTTGATTAATATTAATTCCTATGTTTTACACCACTTTAAATGTTTTTTGTTTCTGTGTTTAATAACGGTATTAAAAATAACCAATCTTTTATTGATGTGAATGCTGCTACTTCCTGTGAAGGACAGGCCTTTTGCCCCACGGAACGCCAGAGGCAGCAGCATTCAATTACAATCTTTATCATAATCTGTCCACCAGGTCTCAACCCACCCACTTCCTTACACTGGCTCTTCTGATGTATAATTGAAAGCAGTTCCTTGATCTCATTCAGTTGGTAACTCAGAAAAATAAAAATAGAGACGTATACATTCCATGCAGTGAAGACACTAAATCTTACCTTCTCTCCCCCAGTGCCATCTGGGCCAAGATTTCCCTGCAAGAAAATGAGACACACTGGTACTCTTTGCTTTGCATACACAGATCTGATCATTCTGATTCCCCTCTCCTCCATTGTAAGGGTGCATACCTCATCTCCAATTTCTCCTTTCTTTCCAGGAGACCCAGGAGACCCAGGAGGACCCTAAACAAACACACAAGAGAAAAGAAATAAAGTACATTAAACTCAGACAATTCCAAAATAAGTACTTAGTACTCATCGACTGCAAAGTAAACCACATGACAGAGTTAATCTCAGCAGAAATGACTACAGCCGCCAAAAAATATTTTCCCTCTTTTCTGTTACATTCAAAATCTTTATCTATCTTGCTTTTCAGAAAGTGGTGTTAGGAGATTGTTAATCTTTTACAGATTTGCTGCCTTAAGTGTTTTTTGTAAGGATAAACCTTTTGAAAAACATAATGCCGTGATTCTTCCAACAATCGTAACTGATGGAAGGCAGAGGGTGAAGGACGCTAACATTCTGGCATAAGGATAGAGCACAGTACCTTCTAAAACAGTTATAGTCTCTATTTCTAGCCCATTCAGATTAACGAAATTAAATAAATCAATATATTTACTTGATTCCTGGAGTAGAGAATTTCCTTTTTTTTCAATAGAGCCCCCAAATCCATCAATAACAGCCATGTACAGAACACAAACCATTCAGAATTAAAGAATTCAGAATCCAAGAATTCATTTTGAGTAGTAAACCTCAGCCTTTCAGTTCTATCAAACAAAATACCGCTGTGAGTCTCCTTCGGGCTGAGAACAGCGGTATATAAGTAAGGTAAATAAATAAATAAATAAAATAGCATTTGTGGTTACCCCAGGCTTTATTGATTTGAGCAGGATAATTTGGCTGCTTGTGGTTGGGAGTCACTTTATTATTAAAACGTTTTGAGTCAGAAATCCATTTTGACTTGTTGCAAATCTCTCAGATCCATCACTGTCACTGGAAGGTCAAGTAGTCATTGTGCTCAGAGTGCTTGGTGCCAGTTTGGGATGGTACATCAGCTTTAGCCTTTCCTGGACAGAGATAATCTGACCACATATGCCCTTATGTCCCAGTTAGATTACTATAATGGGCTGTATTTAGGATTATCTTTGAAGATATAACTAGTGCAAAATGCGACACCTTCCTCACTGCTGACTGGAAAACCATACTGAAAGCAACAATGTCAAAGGAATGGCTGTTGTTATGACATTTACAGCGTTATATGGCTTAGGACCTCAGTATTTAAGGCAACACCTCTCATCAAATGTTACTGCCCAATTATTGAAGTCTATGGGGTGATGGAGTCCTCTGTGTACCAGAGGTGAGGTCAATACCAAAACAGTGAGGTATTGGGACATGGGAGAAAGTCTTCACCATGGCACCACAACTGTGGAATGCCCTTGTCTTGGCATTCAGATTGGCACTAACATTAATTTCACTTAGGCATCAAGTTAACACCTGGCTGCTCACTGCAGTCTTTGGGACTCATTAATTCATCCCAGATGCTGCTATACATAGTTTGAAAAACTTTAAAATTGTTTTCCAACCCATTACGAGAATATGTTTTCAGTTTATTTAAATTGAAATGGGGAAGATGTTCTACAAATGGAGATTTCTGAAATGGTTTAGAATACTGAACAGTTCAGATCATCTCAACATCTGGAAAATGCTGGAGAACCATCAGAGTTGGTCTCTTTCCCATCTCATGCCACTGAGGTGGGAAGGGGCAATGTCCAAAAAGGCCTGTCAGCCAAAGGTTATCTTCAGCTTTACCTTTTCTCCAGGACTTCCAGTATTTCCACGCCTGCCTGGTCTTCCATCAACTCCAGCCTCTCCCTTGAAATGGACAATAACACACAAACAGATTAATGAAGGAAAACATCAGAATAGAATATATCAGAAAGCATAACTTTGGATTCCAAATAAATAGTTTAGTTAAGTGTGTGTATGTTTTAATTTGCATCCAGAAAGTAGATATTTTCTTGAAGTTATTGCCAGTCTGGTATCTATGTCTGATAAGACTAATAAACAACAACAACAACAACAACAACTTTATATTTGTACCCCAAGGAATTCAGAGCAACTTATAGAAGGCACAAAGTGCCTAAAACAAACATAAAACTGAACACAATATAAAATACAATAAAATGCCCATTCAAATAAATGGGATGGGGTTAGTCATGCTCAAAATTAATCTGGGAAAACTGGACTCTTCTGAGGAGTTTTCCAAGTACTGATTCACAAATGATGATGTTAGATGAATACCAGGTTCGCTGTGAGTTTTCTGTGTTATATGGCCATGTTCTAGAAGCATTCTCTCCTGATGTTTTGCCCACCTCTGAGGATGCCTACTATAGATGTGGGCAAAACGCCAGTAGAGATTGCTTCTGGAACATGGCCATACATGGCCATACTGCCTGGAAAACTCACAGCAACCCAGTGATTCCAGCCATGAAAGCCTTTGACAACACAATACCACGTTACTTTGGCACTCCTATGATCTTCAACCATCAAAAAGCAGAGAAGTCAATTTGCTTAGGAAGAGATGGAACTGATATAGCAACCTGAAAGCCCTGCTGCATTCCTAAAGATCATGGGATCTGACAAACGTCACAATAGTTGGGCCTTCAAATCATGACAAGTGGGAGGCTTTTTCTGCTGCTAACAACTAGTAATGGAAATAATGCTCAAACATAAAAACATTTTTAAAATTGTTTAATTGTTTAATTTTTAAAATTAAAAATGTCAGGAGAAAATGCCTTTAGAAAATGGTCATATAGCCCGAAAAATCCTACAACAACCCATTTTTAAAATTGTTAAAAAAAAGATTTCTGAGTACTGGGAAACCCTGACAAGAAGAATCCTAGATGGGCATGAATTTCTGCAGTTTAGGATTTAGGTTGCATGGCTGTTTTCTGCATTTTCTGGTACAAGAAATAACATTCTGCAAGAAACAGAAGAATGTTACTGTTAATATATGTTAGCGGCTAGGCTACAACTGGTCTAGGGTTGTAAAATCCCACATGTAAGAACTGCTTAGGGCAGTTCCACAAAAGGCTTTAACTGAGTGTAATCGGGTTTCGTAAACCTGATTGTGCCTTGGTTAAAGTCCAGGCATCTCCCCACAACATCCATACTTTCCTTGGGGGGGGGGGTCCAGACACAAAACAAAATCCCCCAGAAAAGCTTTAAAAAAAAAGAAAATAACTTACACGGCCACCATTCCCCCTTCTCTGGAGCTTTCCTAGCTCATAAAAATGATGCACCAGGAGAAGGGTAATTGTACTCTTTTATTTTTTTCTTGAAATTAGAATTACCACATAAAACGAAATTCAAATGAGAAAATGTAGGAATGTTGCCTTTCTCACTCTTTTTTGGGGTGGAGAAATGGTACTGTGCAATCATAACTGCAAAAATCCAGGATTTCTCAATTATATATGAGCAGCCCAATTAGACCAAAAGGAAAAATATGTTTTAAAAGTGAAACAAAAGAAACAGGCTTTGGGTGACAAGTGCAAAGGGCATTAATTTGACATATGCTATTTGATTTAATGTTCTGCAGTAAAAATGCTGAAATGTTCATATTCATCTGACTTTAGATTTTCAAGATGGAATTGATACTCGACTATAAATGTATGAAAAGAAAATAGTGCCTCACCTTTCCTCCTTTGGGCCCATAAGGACCAGGGTCTCCTTTTGATCCAGATGGTCCTTGTAAGCCCTGTTTAAAACCAATCTAAAATCAGTTGATGCAGGAAACAAAAATGAGATTTACTTTTATGTATACTTTAGCAATGCTCATGAAGTCTGGACAGACATTTAGAAGACAAGGGAAGACTCCTGGTTTGCAACCATTTCCTGTTCACATCCTGGTTGATGTGGGAGCCTGCTTGAAGAGATTATGCTGCTCACACCAGGGTGGAAGATAAATGTATATGTAATATGCTTAACCTACGTACATCAAATCCTGGGGATCCTTTGCATCCTGGTAGTCCATGAAATCCTTGCTCTCCCTGGAAAGAAAAAGAAATCATTCATCTTACATCACTTTTTATTCTGGAATGCCACTGTTATTGCCTGCTTCTTCCTGTATTCAATAGCATGACACAAGCATCTTCCATGGAATATAGAAGCCAAATAAAGAATCAATGTTTCAATAAACTTTTCAATATTTGCCACAATGTAAGAAATTATATGGGGCTAAGGGTTTCCTTCTGGGTCAGTTTCCTCTGAAAATATCTGAGCTACTCTGTGCAGAAGTCATTGTTATTATGTTTGTGTTTAACTGTTAGAGTATGTATTTGTGTTTGTAACAGTAGCTAAAACTGGAGTCATCTGGTTTGAATCCACAGTGAGCGTTGCCAAGGAGACGAGGCTGGCTAGCTCATGAGAGGGAGAAGTGGGCGGAGCCAAGCAGGAAAAGTTATGTGCGTTTTTAAAAAAGGCCGGAGAGTGAGGCTTGGAAAGGCCCGAGAGAGAGGCTTGTGTGGGAGCGGCTGGTGTTTTTTCAGTCGAGGAGAGCTGAAGAAAGAAACCTGGCCAGATTCTTTAGTCAAAGAAGACTAAAGGAAGCCTAGTTAAGATCCCTAGTTAAGGAAGGACTAGAGATCAGAGATTTGATCGAGGGAAGATCAAACTGAAAGGCTATTTATAGTAGTGAAACATTGTTCACTAGAGAGCTTCACCTCAGTGAAAGTTAGCCACAAGCTGTGTTATCTGGAAGAGTGGACTGTATTGTAAACCACGTGATATTCAAAGTTCCATAAGTTATTTAACAGCCTGCAACCATAAGCTTTGTACACAATAAACTTGTTATCTTTTGTTGAAAACCGTCTCATCTCAACTAATCTGCGTCTGTAGAGCCAGATCTCATCGGTGGTACCTCAAATACCTCACATTGGTGGCAGTTACCTTAATTTACAAATAATAATTGGCCTCCTCCATAATATACTCTTCTACTCAATTGAGGCCTGAGGTAAATTCCCTCCATAACATCCACATCTGTACAATTGGTGGCAGCGGTGAGATTAAAAAGTGCCTGAGGTAAAATACCTCCATTATTAGGGCCTGCCGTTGCCAACCTCAGCAACACACAAGCACCTCCTCGCAATTGGTGATAGTGGTGGGATCTTCAAAGATAAAATCCCTATACCCTGTCCATCATTGAGTTCGCATCTTTCCATACTCTTATGATCCAGAGTTACCAGATTTATTTCACATCATTAAAGTGTCAGCTGGTCTTCCCTTTCTTCTGCATTACAGGCATATTTGCAGCTATGTTTTATGCAGTAGAGGGCCCTTCTACACTTGCATTACAACCCATGTTAAATGGATTTTAAAAGGGGGAGTGTGTGGCTAAACATTTAGCCAAAATGCAGGAGGAATCGGGTTAAAGGCTGGCAAACATGTTTAAAAGTCACTCTTTAAACCCGGTTCTTCCTGAGAAACGCACATTTTTCCATGCCTGTGTAAATCTGCAGACATGGAAAACATGTGCTTTCCTTCCCATCTTGCTGTTTGGACTTCCTCCTGCCCCTCCCCCCCCCCCATTTCCCTCTCCACATACCAGAGGAAGCCTTTTTTGCAGGCTGCAGCCTTTTCTTCTCTTCCTCCAAGAGAAGATCCAATAGGGGACCTTGGAGCAGGAATCTCTCCTCTCCTACTCAAAGCCCTTCTTCTGATCTTAGAAGGTGGGGCTGGGGCAGGAGAGGGGAGGCTTCAGGCCTTGTGGAGTGCAGGAGGAAATGGGGCAAAGGTCTGGTTGTGCCAATGCCCACCCTTGCTGTTCTCGGAACAGCAGGGGTGAGTATCTGGACACACACACACACTTGCAAAACCCCAGGGTTTAGGTCAGCTGTGTTGCCTCCATCCCAAGAGAAAGTGGGATTTAAAATCCCAGTTCCTCTTGCACTTATTGCCTGTCTAGAAGAACCCTGAGTCTCAATATCCCTCCCTAAAGAGACAGATACAGAGTGAATCCTTTACATATGAGTCATACCTTCTTGCCGTCAATGCCGTCAATGCCCCGCTTGCCCTTTTCTCCCTGAAAGAATAAATAAATATTTTCAAATTTCTATCGTCCCCACAAAAACCATTTCCCATAAATAAATTTTTAAAAATCTGAAGACATACCTTGCTTCCTTTGGAACCTCTTGAGCCCTGGGGACAAAAGAACAAGGGTAAAAACTGTTGATCAGAGCTTCACAGACCTCCTAGCCAAACCAAATTAATCAGAATTATTTATTTGTATCCTATGTGATAGGCAAGCCTCTTCTCCATGCACTAGACTAGTATTCAGCAAGGGAAGATGCATTGTATCAAATGTCCTGGTCAACATAAAACTGGCAGGTAGAGAAATATTTTAGTTCCTGTCCATTATTATTCTTATAATGATTACCAATGAAAGTGTCTGACCAATAAAAATTCTTAAGGGATAGACTATTCAACAGTGGAACAGCCTACCTTGGAAGGCATTGGATTGTTATTGATATGCGAATATTGTGTATTATGCTTTTATGGTTTTAAACTGTATACTGTTGATTGTTGTATTTTGTTGTAAACCGCGTTGAGTCGCCGGCTAGGCTGAGAAACAGCGGTATACAAGTATAGCAAATAAATAAATAAATAAATAAGGTGATGGACTCCACTTTGTTATGTTTAAAGGCTAGGAGGCTATGTATTAGGGATTCCACAAGAGTGGACTTTGTGAGGGATTAGTGAGAGGTTTGGATCTGATGATCTTTAAGATCCATTTCAACTCTGTGATTCCATCTTAAGAGCATAGATAGGTGTATAGATAGATAAATAAATAAATAGGATGGACTTGGTTTCAGGACAGCTTCCTTTCATTCTCTTAGAATCATAGAATCATAGAGTTGAAAGAGACCTCATGGGCCATCCAGTCCAACCCCCTGTCAAGCAGCAGGAAAACTGCACCCAAAGCACCCTTGACAGATGGCCATTCAGCCTCTGTTTAAAACCCTTCAAAGAAGGAGCCTCCACCATACTCCGGGGCAGAGAGTTCCACTGTTGAAGAGCTCTCACAGTGAGGAAGTTCTTTCTAATGTTCAGGTGGACTCTCCTTTCCTGTCCTTTGGAGCTATTGTTCCGCATCCTAGTCTCCAGGGCAGCAGAAAACAAGCTTGCTTCCTCCTCTCTATGACTTCCTCTCACGTATTTATACATGGCCATCATGCCTCCGCTCAGCTTTCTCTTCTGTAGGCTAAACATGCCCAACTCTTTAAGCCTCTCCTCATAGGGCTTGTTCTCCCGACCCTTGATCATTTTAGTCACGCTCTGGACACATTCCAGCTTGCCATCATCTCCCTTCAATTGCGGTGCCCAGAATTGGACCCAGTGTGATTTTTTTTTTATGAACCCATGTTGACTACTAGCAATGACCACATTTCTTTCTAAGTGTTTACAGACTTAATGATCTTTTCCAGAATCTTGCCTGGTATTGACATGATACCCAATTCTTCCTTTTTCTACTGACGTAAGCAAAGAAGCCCTTTTTAAATTATTTTTAATGTCCCTGGCAATCCTGAGCTCATTTTACGCTTTAGCTTGTAAACCTTTTCCCTACAGGAGTTGCTTATTCTTCTGAATTCTTGAAAAACTCCAATCTATCTGTAACTCCCTTCTCTTTTAGTATTGGTGTCCATGGAATGCCTCTCATTTTTTAGAAGTCAGCTTTCCTAAAGTCTAGAATGCAGGTTTTACTTGTCTTAGTTTCAGTCTTCCTTCATATCACAAACTGCAGGAGCATATGGTCACTTGCCCCTAAGGATCTGACCACTTCAACTGCATTGATCAGGTCCGTGTTTGCTAGGATGAGATCAAGAGTAGCCAATCCCCCTTCTTGCCTCTTCTACTTTCTGGACAATAAAATTGTCTGCAAGGCAAGCAAGGAATTTGTTGGACTTTGTATTCTTGGCTGAGTTTGTTTTCCAGGAAATGTTGGGTTAAAATAGTTGACTACTATCTCTCTTCTTTGTGTCTATTTGGTCAATTGTTGACAGAAGACTTTGTCAAGTTCTTCATCCTGGCTCCTGTAGCAGACACCCATGATGAGATCTTTTTGAGTCCCGGTTCCCTTAATTCTTATCCAGATGCTTTCAAGCTGGTTTCTCGGATTGCAGTCTTGCATCTCTTCTGTGGCGTAACTGTTTTTGACATATAAGGCTACTCCCCCTCCTCTCCCCTTTGTTCTGTTTCTATAAAAGAGGTTATAGCCCTCAATGCCTACATTTCAGTGATAGGTGTCATCCCATCAGGTTTCAGAGATGCCTATGACATCGTAAATATGGTTTTGTGCTAAAAGTTGGAGTTTCTCTTGTTTATTTCCATGTTCTGTGCATTAGTGCAAAGACATGTAAGCCCCTGGGACCTTCCCCTGAGCTGTTTATTCACAATTATTGTGCTCTCACTACTTGTCCTTGGCTTGGCTCATTGAAACCTAATTGTGGAGGTCAGGAGACCTTAAAAGCTTACTATTTCATGGTAGGTTTTTTTTGCATGGCTCGAATAAAACCAAACATGAATTCTATAATGCTTCCCACAAATCTGCATGCCTTCCTTTCAATTTCTATTGAATTTAACTGTTGTTAATACCCCACTCACCTTGTCACCTCGATCACCTTTGTCTCCCTAAAGAGGGGAAAAAAAAGAAAATATAAATGCAATTTTACAGTAGAAATAATAAAGCTAAGATGGGGGACGAAAATAATGGTCAATTTTCATTGTCACAATGGCCGTATCACCATATGAAAAATTGGAATAGAAAGTCAGATGTGGTTCTGACATTTTAAAGGGGGGGGGGGTTCTTTCTCCTTTGAGGTATTTTGGAGGTGTTCCAATTTTTTGCAATTGGAATCCTCAAGGAGAAGCAACATACTCTTTTCAGTTGTTTAGTCATCCTTCAAAACTGATAGATACAGGAGCTTGAGAAGGATAGGGGCTGGAAGGGCTAGAAGTTGTACGTTCCCCGCCCTTGCCATAAAAGAGTGTAACCATACCTTCATTCCTTGGTAACCAACAGGCCCTGGGTCTCCTTGATTTCCCTAGGTAAAGAAATGACAACAAAGATTAGAAACTACACAGCAGAAAGTAGTCAAACATAGATCAATTCCCCAAAACTATTTCAGCCAGAACTATTTGGTTAGCTAGGATTTGGAAAACTGCATTCAATAAGATAGGCTGATTTGACACGGAACCCAATAGTTAGATTAGACCCACTTCGATTAATGGGGCTGAAAGTAGCCATGATGATTAATGATTAATCACTGAGCATGATTAAACTGGGTTCCAGCCCTATATACAACCCTGTTTGGGGATTCAGTCCTTATGTTGCACATGTACAGATGTACATGTGTACAGAAATACGCATACACAGAGAGATATGGCATGGTCCTGGTTTAATCATATTTACCCCCAATGTGGCTTTTATTATGACTCGTTCATACAACTTTGTAGTTTATGTACGTGTGTATGAGAAGGGCATGGCAAACAACATTGTTTCCCATTTGTAACCTCCCTGTTTTTCCACAGCTGAGGTAGGTAAAACAACAGTGCAATCTGCTGACATGGTAAGAGCCGCCGCAAACTAGCCTCCTGCGGGAGCAAACTGTGCCAGCACGTCCATGACGTCATGAGACTGCGCCTCTCTCTCTGCCCCTTTCTCCGCCTCTTTCTCCGTGCCAGAGTGGTTTTTCCTTTGCTAGGGCAGCATTGCCAGCGTACTCTCGTTGTTGCAGAATTCAACAACGAGAGTACGCTGGCAATGCTGCCCTAGCAAAGGAAAAACCACTCTGGCACGGAGAAAGAGGCGGAGAAAGGGGCGGAGAGAGAGGCGGAGTCTCATGACGTCATGGACGTGCTGGCACAGTTTGCTCCCGCAGGAGGCTAGTTTGTGGCGGCTCTAAGAATGGCTGAACAATGTCTTTTTGATCCCAGCCATCTCTTTGGAAGTACCCAAGTTTTGGAGGTTTTACTGATTAAATATAAAAATATTGGCACCGTATCTTTAGAACTGAAGATGCTTAGAGTGACCAACCAATATGTTAAAACTACAATCTATATAAATAAAAAATGTAAATGTTCGTTTGTTCAAAATCTTAAATCTCCCAAAATTCTTCATTGGTTGCTTTGAAATTTTGACACAACGTAGCATTCGAATAGGTACATGTTTTCACATACCTACTATTATATAGATGTCACACCTGTGACAGGTAAAATATGCTTTTTTCAAAAATAGCACCATCTGTTGATGTCAAAGCAACACACGCTATATTACATATTTTACTATTCTATTTCAATGTTTCTGAATGCAGTGCTAAATTGAATTTTCACAGGTTTCAATTTAGTTTCATTTTGGGTTCATTATTTCATGTGACATTACTTTGAAATTGAGCTGTGTCATTTACCATAGCGTTTATTTTGTGAGTATAGTTTATTGTTGCCCTTCTTTGCTTTAGCACTGCTCACTCTGCCCCGAGGGAGGCAGGATTGCACAGCAGCACACAGCGGGGGCAGGCCTCGCGGGCATGCCTTTGCCTTCCCTCCTCTCCCAAAGTTGAACCCAAGGGAGAGAGAGCATGCCATGGCCACTCACCCACTCAGCCAGGCCTCTTTTGGCCCCTTCCATGCTGCTGTAGGCAATCCACATTGAACTGGGTTACATTGTAGTCTGCATTCAGATAACCCAGTTCCAAGCAGACATTGTGGGTTATCTGCCTTGATATTCTGGGTTCCTTGCATTCCTAAGATTCCAACGGATATGCCATTTCCATGTAAGAAATGGCAATTCCCAATTCGATTGGCATTTGCAATCACCATCAACAAAGCTCATGGCCAATGTTTAGAATTGTGCGGTTCAGATCTAGATACGGATTGCTTCTCACATGACAATTATATGTGGTGCATTTGAGAGTCAGCAAACCAGACAATTTATATATCTGCACAGACAATGGAACAACAACAAATATTGTATACCCACAAGCATTGTGAAATTAAATATATTAGAAGCCTGCTCTTTCTCTTTTCTTTCTTTCCATTTAACCAGACTGGGCCACAGCAACACATGTCCAATTTAAGGTGCAGGTGCTTTCCTACAAAGCCCTGAACGGTTTGGGACCAGCCTACCTGCGTGACCGCATCTCCATCTACGAACCCACGCGTTCATTACGCTCATCTGGAGAGGCCCTGCTCGTGGTCCCGCCTGCGTCGCAAGCACGTTTGGTGGGGACACGAGACAGGGCCTTTTCCGTGGTGGCCCCCCGTCTCTGGAACACTCTCTCCAAAGATTTTAGACAGGCCCCTACATTGGCAGTCTTCAGAAAGAATTTGAAGACCTGGCTGTTCCGATGTGCCTTCCCCGATTAGGAAATCTCCAACACCAAGTCCCAGAAGCACTTTATTAGAATTTAAGACTGCCGCACTCTGCACACTGCACTTGCCCTATAATATCACCTGTCACATCAGCACTTTTTAATCCTGTACCCTTTACTCTGGCCTGGCCCAGTTTTATCTTGTTGATGTATTGTTTATTGCTTGTGGTTTTGTTGTTTTAATACTGCTTTAATTGTTTTAATTTGCTTTGAGTGTATTGTTGTGTGTGTATTGAGGCCTTGGCCTTTGTAAGCCACATCGAGTCCTTCGGGAGATGCTAGCGGGGTACAAATAAAGTTTAATAATAATAATAATAATAATGTCCAGGGATGGCTAGGGGCGGCTCAACTATTATGGCGGCTCAACCATTATGCAAGGTAAGCATTCGCAGTATAGTTGAGTTTCCCCAGGGGCGCTCTTGAGGCGCTATTAGAGGAAAATAGACCTTGACATATGCGAGTTGTAGTTACTGGGATGTATAGTTCACCTAAAATCAAAGAGCATTCTGAACTCCACCAATGATGGAATTGAACCAAATATGGCACACAGAACTCCCATGACGAACAGAAAATATATTTCAGTGATTGGTTTGGGGGGGGGGGGGGCGCCAAAACACTGTTTGCTTACCGTTGAAAATTATCTAGGGCCGCCTCTGCTAGTGTATGATAAAAATAAAAATAACACAAGAAAAATCTAAGCAATCTGAGGAGTTTAAGAAGGAGGAGGAGGAGGTGAAGAAGAAGAAGAAGAAGAAGAAGAAGAAGAAGAAGAAGAAGAAGCAGTAGTGACAGAAAACCACTAATGAAATAAGTAGCCAACAGATTTTGAAAACCCTAATTGCCCTTGCCTGGATGGTTTAAGGAGCAAATTTTCTACATGAGAAGTGACCATTCCTATCTGTTCTGATCAACTGCTGAATTTCTAACATATTAATAAAACTTCTGAAAGGCTGGGGCGGAGACAGTCAGGAAGATGTTCATTTTGTCCTTACAACTAGGTTGAAAACTCAAGGACAAAGAAGTCCCTATCTAGTGCAGGTAAAAATAACACTCTAGGAAAAATTTGCTGTGCATGTACTGCTATTTCCTGGGCTTCCAAACTCAACAGAAATAAGCTGAGTAACTGCCTCCTTGGTGGTGAAGCAAAAATGCATCACTACCCAAAATAAAGTTAAGGAGACTTTTTTGGGTGAGGTTGAGGAAAATTATCTTTACTCCACCCTCTTAGCAAGTTTTATCCTAAGCACATCTAGTAATGTGGCCTTGTTTGTATTCTCGAAGAGGCAGATCCCCAAATACAAGCAAAACAGTGGTGATGATAAAGCAAAGAACAGCATATGATGATTATTTATTTATTAACTACATTTCTATACCGCTTTTCTCACCCCTGGGGGGACTCAAAGCGGTTTACAACATAATAAATGGCAAATTCAATGCCTCATAGATATATAAAAAATATCACATATCTAAATCAATAACATATAACTGCAGTTAAAAACCGTTAAAACTATAAAAACATCAAACATAGACATAAGCATGAAACATATATTATTGCTGCAATTAACAATGTAGACCCTGTCTCTTCCTCCCCCCCCCCCCCCCTAACTCTCTCTCCATAGCGTTTCAGCCCTTCTTTTTATACCCTCCCTGCTCCCCCCACATCCCAACAGACATAAAGTTATTTAGGTACAGATTGAGTACAAAATGGGGAGGGTAAAAAAAAGTTTTGGGCCTTCTTGGGGGATGGTAAATGTGATATGAGGTCCTTGGGGCGGGTGGAGGGAGAGTCTTATCTGATGATGGTAGTAGGCTACTGATCAGTTTCGTAGAAGTCCGGAGGAACATAGATTTTCTCAGTTGTGGTGTCATAAGTTAGGTATGAGCTATCACTTGCCAGTAAACTGAGGATGGGGAAGGGCAACGAAGTGCAGCTGCCCATCCTCAGAGGAGAGTTGGTATGTAGGCTGCACCTTGCACTCTGGAGGAGCTGAAGTCCCCTGGCCTCCTTTTATGGCATGGCCTGACTTACCAGGCCGTGGAGGTTGCGGTGTGGGGTGTTCCCCCCCCCCGCCATTTGGCCTGAGTGGGGCTTCTTCTCCCCAGAAGCCCCCTCTCCCAGCGGGAAAGTTCCCGCGGTTTAGAAGGTGGCCCTATCAGCTGCCAGCCACGCCTCCTGGCAGGAGAGCCCACAGCTGGCCTCTCCTCCCTCGTGGGCACCCTACTTAAGGCTGCCCTTGTGCCCACCAGCAGTCCCTGGGCCAGCAGCAGCTGATCCTCCCACCCACCCTGCATGGTTCCGGGAACTGTTTGTTGTTAGATTGTTTTGTCAGTTGTCACAGTTACCTGTTCTTGCTGTTGTTCATGCGTTTCGTCACAACTCTGGTTAGCGTGGGCATGGGCCCTGGATCCGGTTTGGTATCCCCCCCTCAGCGGTGAAGGGGGAACGCCTGGTGTCTCAGGGGTGCCGAGTGCATTGGGCCCGGTATTGTGCCGGTGGCACCCCTGTGTGGCTTGCGGTATCGGACAGCAGTGGGCTGCTCGATCTTGATCCAGGACCCATGCATGGCTGCCAACCCTTGTTCCTGTTATCAATAAATGAGTTGTGGCCATTGTTTATCCCAATACCTTGTGTGAGTGGTTTTATTGGGTTGGCGGGGGGAGGTGTATCGCCCGTGCACACGCAACACCTCCTCCTTGCTGGCAGTTGGAGGGAGGGGGCAGCGAGGTGTAGCTGCTGCCAAGGAGGGTTGGTGTGTAGTCCCCATAAGAACATTTAGCTAAAGACAGAGAGAGGGGTCCTTTTTACACTGCCATAGAAAATCTAGATTATCTTCTTTGAACTGGATTATATTAGTCTACGACATCATATAATCCAGTTCAAAGCAGATAATCCAGATTTTATTTGGCAGTGTAGAAGGGGGCAGAGTAATAGAAACTGACAGAAGTGAAGTGAACAAAAGGGGGATTTTAAGAGACCTATGACTAAAGTTATGGGTCTAAATACTTTAAAGGAATCAGATCCTATCTAATTTTGGAAGCCAACGAATACCAAGGGCCCATCTACACTGCCATATAATGCAATTTTAATGGCATGATCTGCATTATAACAGTCAGTGTAGACTCATATAATGCACAATGAACTGCATAGAACTGGATTATATGAGTCTACACTGTCATATAGTCCAATTCAATGCAGTTAATCAAGATTCTGAAACTGCATTATATGGCAGTATAGATCCAGTCTGAGTATTCTTTGCCTAGGAAAACCTTAAGGGTCCTTCCACACAATCATATAACCCAGAATACCAAGGCAGATAATCCACAATATCTGCTTTGAACTGAGTTATCTGAGTCCACATTGAGTCCACAGTTCAATGTGGATTTTGTACAGCTGTGTGGAAGGGGCCAATGAAATGGAATCACAAGAAGTTCTCAGGTGACTTGAAGGCAAACACACACATGCTTGTTGGTAAGATTAGTTTGTTGCTTTATCAATGTTCCCGAATTCTCCCCCTTTTGTAACCAGCAGTATGTAATCTGCATTTTTATTTCATCATCATCATTAGTAGAAGTAGACAATGCAGTTGCTGTTGCTTGTTTTTTGTCTAAAATTATTTAGCCACTTGTGTTTCCTTTATTTTATCAGTTTTATATTTATTTATGCAATGCTTTTGAGATGAAATAAATGATGTAGTTGTAGTATTAGTGTTAATATGACAGTTGCTGGTGGACAATGGACAAAATCCAGTGTGAACATCTGATAATGCAACTGTTTTATTAAGTTTCCTCTCTACTCTACACAACACAAAGCTTAGGTAAGGTAGTTTTTTGGACTACAACATCCCAAATATGAGCATACTATAGACCAAAAAACCCCCTGTTCCATGTTCTGATCACACATAACAGCCATTGGCCCTACATGGGAAAGACCATCCTAGGTTGCATTAAACAACCAGTTCAGTGTAGTCTAAATGATTAAGTATGAGATGGCTGTGTTTGGCTGTGTCTCTAGGGCAGGCAATTTAAAGTGCTGAATGGAGCAAATAAACTTGCTGTCTAAAATGTGAATAAACTCTAAGTTGCTCCTCCCAACAGTTGGATGTGCCTTGGCATGTCCAGAGAATGTTCAACAACAATATGTCACATCATTTACATATATAAGACTTAATTTTATATTAATGTTTCCCAGTCACAGACAAATAAACCAGCCTTCTACTTACAGGTTCTCCAGCATCTCCTTTTATTCCAGGTAGGCCAGGCTTCCCCCTTTCACCCTGGAACAAAACATCACAAAACATCTGACTCAATGTCTATCTTACCCATAGTTTTCCAAAATACAGCAAATAAGGATTTTTGTTCATTTGGTGACAATGGTTATGCACTGCCTTCTATCACCATCATTCAACTTTGGATGGCAAAGGCAGATGAACCTCAGTTTCTTCAGAAGACCTTAATCCAGAAATAGTTAGATAAGATGGTTTGTAGTTTTACTGCATTTTGCCCAAACCAAATTGGGAACCAATACAATTTGTGCAAAATTACTGCCCCTTTACTTCATGTATATCATACCAGACAATTCTCTAGCCAATGTGTACAGAAGTTATTATGTGTATATGTTTAACTGTTAGAATATATTTGTTTTGGTAACAGTAGCTGAAAGCTAGAGTTAACTGGTTGTATCCACAGGAGGTTGCCAAGGAAACCAGGCAGGCTAGCTCAGAGAGGAGAAGTGGGCGGAGCCTAGCAAGAAAGTCTTATCTGCATTTTAAAATGAAGCAGTTCAGTTAGGGGTTTGGAGTCGGAGTGAGCAGTTGAGCGAGGAGGGTGGAGAAGCAGTGTGTGTGAATAGCCAGAGGTTTCTTCAGTCTAGGAAGGCTGAAGGGGGAAACCTAATTAGTTTCATTAGTCAGAGAGGACTAAGGGAAGCTTGTTTAGATCACTAGTTAGGAAAGAACTAGGGATCTAGGATTTGATCAAGAAAGGATCAAATAAGGAGGCTATTCACCTCAGGAAACATTGTTAAAGAAAGTGCTTCATCACAGTAAAAGTCAATTATAAGTTGTATCATCCAGAAGTGTGAACTGTATTGCAAACTAAGTTACATTAAAAGTTCTCTAAGTTATTCAAAGTTAACCAACAGCCTGCAACCATACGCTTTGTACAAAATAAACTTATTAACTTTTGTTTGAAGACTGTGTCATCTCCATTTATCTGCGTCTGGGGAGCTAGTTCTCATCGGCAATACCTCACGTTGGTGGCAGTTACCTGAATTACATTTATAATTATCCACACCTACATAACTGATGGCAGAATTTAAGAGCAGACAGTACAATTAGTGATAGTGGGTGGGTTCTTTAAAGTTAAAAGCCCTATACCCTGTCTGTTGTTGTAATTGCAGCACCTTCACAATTAGCACAGTTGTACAACTGGTGCGTGCAGACTTTATAATTGGTGGCAGCCCTGTACAATTGGTGTACAACCTTTACAACGGGGCTAACGTCACTGCACAATGTATCTCATAATACTTCTTATTTTCTCTTATTTTACAAAGATCTCCTTAGAACAGACTAAATCCACATCCAAATGAGTATATATCTACGGCATACATCACTATGGTTAGGTAAGTCTCTGGGAAAGGTTATAGCTGGCAATCAGGAGGAACTGGGGCAGTGTTCTCTTTACTAACTACACAGCCAGATATATCATCAGAGTTATGGGAAACTTTAAAATAGGGGAGCAATTCTTAGTAGTGCAGTCTGAATGGATTACTAAGATTCCCAAGCAAGGTAGCTTTTCCATGCTGTCTTAATAAATTAATAATTATTAATGTAATAATTCCAGCAAATTTACTCTAATCCATCCACTCACTTCTTCAGGTACTCCTACTGTATTTTATGATAGGAATGGAAGCTGACTAAAGAGTAGCTCACAAATGTCTAATCTTCTCCCCTGTATTTGATCCCATTATAGTGTTTCCCCTTCCCCATACACTCTGGATAGAAATATAGTAACAGCTTTTTCCTCGGATATATAAAATGCATACATACATATAGTCATGCAAACTTAGTTTGATAGGAATGGCAAGCTGAGCAAACACAGACCTCATATCCTGGATCTCCAACTGTTCCCGGAGGGCCTCGAGCAGGCTAAAAATTGATGAACAAACAATAATTAGATTAGAGAAATGTGAATATCTCACAATTACATAATATATTGATAGACTGAGCAGTTATACTCACCTGGCATTCATATGAACAGCACTGCCAACAGAGAAGAAAGAGAAGATGCCATTAGAAGGACAAGAGATCCATATTAATCAACACATTCTTCAGAATGTGGTCCACCACTTTACCATAAAAGAAATTTACCATCCTTTAAGCAATAAACTTTTGACTGTGTGGAATGGTTGACATTAAGGGAGATATTGAACAAATTTGGAATGGGAAGCAGCATAAAAGGATTATTAGAACAATACTATTTAAAAAATTCAGCGGTAGTAACGATAAATAACAGGGTGACAAAAGAAATAAAAGTAACAAGGAGAACAAGACAAGGATGCCCTCTATCGCCAATTTTGTTTGCTATGGTGATAGAAATATTTGCAAATGCCATTAGTACAGTTGTGAAGGATAGATAATATGTATAAATAGAAAAATAACAGTAGATGTCAAAAGTCAAATTATGGTAGACTGTATTGAATAATATGTATCTGCTGTAAAACAAACAATGTATAACAAATGTATTTAACTATGATAAAATAAAATATTTGGAAAAAACTAATCTGACATATTTCTCACTACAAGTTTTGGTCAGTTCTTGGAAGAACTCAGGGAGGTACCATGTGTCTTGATGTGATAGACAGAAAAGTACTCTACTGTTTTGCACCTTATTTGGAGTAGAATCATAGAATCAAAGAGTTGGAAGAGACCTCATGGGCCATCCAGTCCAACCCCCTGCCAAGATACAGGAATATTGCATTCAAATCACCCCTGACAGAAGGCCATCCAGCCTCTGTTTAAAAGCTTCCAAAGAAGGAACCTCCACCACACTCCAGGGCAGAGAGTTCTACTGCTGAACGGCTCTCAAATTCAGGAAGTTCTTCCTCATGTTCAGATGGAATATCCTCTCTTGTAGTTGGAAACCATTGTTCCGCGTCCTAGTCTCCAAGGAAGCAGAAAACAAGCTTGCTCCCTCCTCCCTGTGGCTTCCTCTCACATATTTATACATGGCTATCATATCTCCTCTCAGCCTTCTCTTCTTTAGGCTAAAGACAGAAAAGTAGCCTTTTCTGTTACCTGGATAAAGACCAAAATGTTGATACATCCCTATAATCAATCTATCAATCCATCAACACTATGGTGTGAGTCAAAACAATTTAAAACATATTCTATATTTTCCCCCTAATCTGAACAAAATCTAGAATTGTGTCCCATTAGCCTCCTTATTTATTTATTTATTTATTTATTTATTTATTTATTTAAAAGTTTTGTATACCGACCTTCTCACCTCTCTTGAGGGACTCAGACCGGTTTCCAACCATAATATCACATACAATCAATAAAACATCGTAATACATATTACAGTAAAACATTAAAACACTATCTGTCTCCCTGCTGGGTTTTCAGTGGCTGGTGATGGTGATCCTCCAGCTTTGTGTTCAGCAGGTTTTCTTCAAGCTATTTAGTGTAGAGGTGAAGTTTGAGCCTTGGATGTCCACATCACTAGTCCTCCCCCATGGCACCAGAAGATGTAGTCTTTCCTCTTCTCTGACCTTCTCACCTCTGAGGAGGAAGTGTCCTGGCAGTGTGCTAGGACGCTAAATTCTCTCCATGTGATGCGGTGGTAGGTAGGCTCTTTACTGACTAGTGCAACTGAGATGAGAATTATAATTTTACAGCATAGTATACAAGGCTTATATAAATGTATTCCTCAGAGAACAAATGGTGTGTTCAGAAAACTTACCTCATGCTCCACGTTCTTTGTCTGAAATAAAAAAAACACAAAGACGTTGTATGAGACAGAAGAAAGCAAGATTGCTGTAGACTTTATTAAGATAAAAATGACTAAAGAGGAACTTACAATCATGTCAATGATAGTGTCAATTGTGTTGTCAATGTCACGTGCGCGCAAACTTGGTCCAGTTGCTGTGAAATTGCGGCGATAGGCTTGGTCTGTGGCAATTACACTTAGCCTGGATTCCTGTGACAAAGCAAGCGCATAAGAACAAAATGAGGGAAAAGGGGGCTCCAGAGGGCTGCTCTTTTCTTTGCTTCTTGGGAATTCAACTTGATGCAATTCCTAAACTGCCTATGGGTCCTGCCGTGACAACTGCACAGAGAGCACACAATGGCAATTTTTACATGGAGATTATAAATACTAACAGTGGAGGATACTTGATAAACTAGGTTGTTTTTAGGCATCTACACATAATGCAAAACAGAGAGGGGGAGAAGGAGGGGAGAAAGGAGGAGGAGCAGGAGGAGCAGGAGGAGGAGGAATAGCTGCAGTGCGTTGTTGTAGGTTTTTCCGGGTTATATGGCCATGTTCTGGAGGCAATTTTTCTCCTGACGTTTCGCCTGCATCTATGGCAAGCATCCTCTGAGGATGCTTGCCATAGATGCAGGAGAAACGTCAGGAGAAAAATTGCCTCCAGAACATGGCCATATAGCCAGAAAAAACCTACAACAGCCCAGTGATTCCGGCCATGAAAGCCTTCGACAATACATTAATAGCTGCAGTTTTAGGTGAACTGAGTCAGACTTGGGGTGTATCTACAGTGTAAAACTAATTGTTATGACTCACTGCTATGGAATCATGGGAGTTTTAATTTTACAAGATTTTAGCCTTCTTTGTGAAAGAGGGCTGGTGCCCCACCAAACCACAATTTCCATGATTTCACAGTATTGAGCTATGACAGTTAAACTGGTGTTAAACTGCATTAATTGTACAGTGTAAATACACCCTTGGTGAAGGTGATACTCTAACCTATAATTGTGAACTTTGCTTTAGAAATACTGAAGTACATAAAAGTCGCCATTTACTGAGTGCATAATTTGTTCTTGGATGTAGAGTATGTGCAAAAGTGATTCAAATGTCTTCTTTACTTTTAGTCTAGAAATGAGAATGGGGCAGGCATGAGTTTGCTTTATCAAATACCTACCCTGCTGGATTGAGGCACTGTGATTTACCTGTTTGTAAACAAGACTATGACAGTAATGACTGACAGGTTCTAAAATAGGCAAAATTACTTTTTAAAATAATAATAACAACAATAATAATAATAATTTTTATTTATACCCCGCCACCATCTCCCCCAATGGGGACTCGGGGCGGTTTACATGAGGCCAAGCCTGGAAAACAAATTACAAAAAATAAAAACCAAAACACGAGCAACAACACAGTAAAATATATGAAAATATATGAATATAATGAGCAATCTACAAATACAATATCCACAATCACAATGACAATGAGTGGGCCGCATGTACAAGATAAAATGTTAAAACTCAGGGTGAGATAAAAGAGGAGCGAATTATTTGCAAGGGAGAGCTCATAAAGAAATGGGGTTGTATAAACCAAGCTTTCAAACAAGAGGAAGTGTACTCCAGGGACAAGAACGTTTAGGGGAGTAATAGGGGGGTCCTAAACCATTTAGGACTTTATAGGTGATAACCTGCATCTTGAATTGAGACTGGAAAATAAACAGCAGCCAGTGAAGCTCCTTAAACAGGGGGGTTGACCGCTCCCTGTAACTTGCCCCAGTTATTAATCTGGCTGCCGAGCGTTGGCCGAGTTGTAGTTTCCGGGCCATCTTTAAGGGTAGCCCCATGTAGAGTGCATTGCAGTAGTCCAGTCTAGAGGTAACTAAGGCATAGACCACCATGGTCAAGTCAGACTTCACAAGGTATGGTCACAGTTGGCGCACGAGTTTCAATTGTGTGAAGGCCCTGCCAGCCACCGCCGACACCTGTGCATCAAGCGTCAGCGCTGAATCCAGGAGGACCCTCAAACTGCGGACCTGTGACTCCAGGGCAACTGACCTGGAGGACCTCTGTCTTGTCAGGATTGATCCTCAGCTTGTTTGTCCTCATCCAGATCGTCACAGCGGCCAGGCACTGGTCCAGTATCCAAGGGGCTTCCTTGGAATCTGGTGGAAATGAGTAGTGGAGTTGGGTGCCATCTGCGTAGAGATGGCACCATATTCCAAAACTCCGGATGACCTCTCCCAGCGGTTTCATGTAGATGTTAAATAGCATGGTGGACAGAATAGATCCTTGCGGGACCCCACAGGTCAATGGCCAGGGGTCCGAGCAGGAGTCTCCCAACTTCATTGACTGGGAAAGACCCTCCAGGAAGGACCAGAGCCACAGTAAAACTATGCCACTGAGTCCCATCACAGCGAGTCTCCCCAGAAGGATACCATGGTTGATGGTATCGAAAGCCGCTGAGATATCTAAGAGAATGAGCAGGGTCACACTCCCTCTGTCCAGTTCCCTGCAGAGGTCATCCACCAAGGCGAGCAAAGCCATCTCAGTACTGTGCCCAGGCCTAAAGCCAGACTGTGAACGATCCAGAAAATCAGTGTCATCGAGGAATCTCTGAAGATTTTCATGCTGATTTTACATATACCATCAACATGGCTTGTATGCAGGCATGTAGCCAGGGGAGGGGCTTGAGGGGCTTCACCCCCCCCCCCAAATTCTGAAGGTGGTCCGCGAGAAGGCTTTACTGGTGCATTATTTAAACTGTTATGTTTATTCATATCATGATCTGATCACCATACTCAATATATCCCATATGCATGGGGGTATTGGGATAACAATACAAAAGGTTTGCTAGGGTAGACCCTCCTTCACTCAGACTCAGCCCCCCTTCCCCCTGAATCAAAATCCTGGCTATGGGCCTGCTTGTATGTAAAGGGGTGCAGCTGATTGCTTCCCTCAACCTATGGGAAGAGATTATTTACAGAGTCATTCTTTGAAGAAAAGTTGGTATATATGTAAATAAAGCCTTCTGGGTACTTCAAGACCAAATCCACTAAGTAATATCCGGCCCCTGCTGTGTTTCCATCTTTTTTATTGACAGAAGATGCTCTAATAACATCCATGTGTATCCAATACATACCAGATGGTTTGGGGATATGGCAACGGAGAACACTTTGATTCCCTGATGCTTTGCTTCATTGGCAGCATCTTCCAATCCCCCACAGGGCTCTTTGTAACCTTCCAAAGGATGTCCATCTGTCACCACAATCATGTATTTATTTTCCTTGTGATGGGATCCTCTGGAAAAATGAAGAACAATGACCAGTCAATAATCTGTATTGTCTCTGTAAGCATACTACTTTAAAAAACCAAAACAGATTAAACATGTGCCTTGGCATAGCCAGTTTTTGCTCCATTTTGCCCCTGAGGCTAAAGTGATGTAGAAGAGAAGGGAAGAGGAACTGCAATGGGGATGATCATATTGGATAGAAATAGTCAGTGTGCCCATAATTTTTAGTCAAAGGTTGTGACATCTGATTTTGGGGGAGGAGAAGGGAAGAAACAAAGAGAGTGAATGAGTAAAGAAGGGGGAGTATGAGGGAAACACACACACATGTGTATCTATTTCCATAATTTGCTACTGGATGATAGCCTATATTCTAAACTCCTTAAGTTTTTTGCTTACCATGATTCAGAGGACTATAATGACAATTCACTATGCATGCAGATGGTCATCTCTTACTACCCAGATAATTTGAGGGGCTGAGCAAAGGGCTGACTTTTCTTCTCTCTCGAAAAGTGTGAGAAAAGGGAATGCTTCCATTTACCCAATGAGCAACTCTTCAATCCCTCTCTTGATGGCACAATCTGTGTAAGTGCCCTTCCCTATGGAGACTACTTTGGATACTTGGTCCTTCAAGCCAGACCGCCCAGTGCGCATGGAGGTGAGCCCACTGATCAGCTGCACTTCATCGCTGTAATGCAAGGCCCCAGCGTTCCACATGAGATTCCGATCACAACGATAATATCTGTTCATAAAGAGGAAACAAAGTCTTAGCATTTTAAAACCCATTACAGCAGGGTTTACACTAAATTACAAATAGTCCAAAGTGCAATTGCACAAAGCTGAGAAAGTGCAACACATGACCCAATAGGTTGCTCTTTAACTCCAATATTTTTTAAAAACTGTAAATTTGTCTTCGCCAATAGACTAAATCCTGACAAAACCCATTATCTTGGTCTCCACATTCTTCAAGACCTTCCAAACCCTTCTACACCCCCCCCCCCCAACAAATAAAAATGCCCTAAAAATGCCCAAAAATTAAACTGGAAAAAATATTTTTTTTGGTTGTGTTGGCTTCCACCATTTTRATAGGTGTCACTCTTTCAGAGAGAATATGTCTTTCTGTCTTGTCACAAGGAAACAATCACAGTTCTGTGCATCTTCACCTTATGTAGACCTGGCCTCTTCTACACTGCCATATAAAATTCAGAGTATCTGCTGTGAACTGGATTATATGGCAGTGTAGACTGATATAATCCAGTTTAAAGCAGATAATGTTGATTATCTGTTTTGTTAATCTGGATTATATGGCAGTGTAGGAGGGGCCAAAGAGATCCCAAGAAATCTGCCATGGCACTGGCAAGATAATGGCAAAAGCAATCAAATAATTTCATTGACTTCAATGGGACTTCAGCAGAGTGAACTTTCTCTCTTAGAATTGACCCTTGGGCATAAGCAATATCTAGTCATGCTAGCTTTTGTTGTGGACAAGTGCAGATAGATAAAATGGATGTGTGTAGTCCACTTCTATGTCCTTAGCAGTAACTTTAAATGGAAAAGTTAAGGCAAGTGTGAATGCTGCCATTGGCCACCTTGATTAGCATTGAATGGCCTTGCAGCTTCAAAGCCTTGCTGTGGAAGGTCCAGGGCGGGAGCAAGAACTCTTGTCTGTTGGAGGCAAGTGTGAATGTTGCAATTGAACAGCTTGATTAGCATTGAATGGCCTTGCAGCTTCAAAGTCTGGCTCCTCTCTGTTCAGGGGAATTCTTTGTTAGGAGGTGTTAGCTGGGCTTGACTGATCTTTGTCTGGAATTTCCCTGTTTTTTAGGGTTTATATATCTGTGGAATAACATCCAGGGTGGGAGAAAGAACTCTTGTCTGTTGGAGGCAAGTGTGAATGTTGCAATTGGCCATTTTGATTAGCCTTGAATGGCCTGGCAGCTTCAAAGTCTGGCTCCTTCCTGCTCAGGGGAATCCTTTGTTGGGAGGTGTTAGCTGGGTCTGACTGATTCTTGTCTGGAATTCCTCTGTTTCCTGAGTGTTGCTATTTCTTTACTGTCCTGATTTTAGAGTTTTTTAATACTGGTAGCCAGATTTTGTTCATTTTCATGGTTTCCTCCTTTCTGTCGAAATTGTCCACATGCTTGTGGATTTCAATGGCTTCTCTTTGTAGTCTGACATGGCTTTATTCACAATTATTCCCTCTACATACTTTTGTGAGACCTTATTCTCTGTGCTAAATAATATCAAAACCATCAAAAGAAACAGATTGACAGATGATGTTAGTAGCACTTGCTCGGGCTTGAAGTGTACAAAATGCCAACCTTCAATTGAACATTTAGTCAATGAAATTCAGCAACAAAAAAAGTCACTAATAGGCAAGGCCGTAGCCAGAAAAAAAAATTCGGGGAGGGTTGAAAATTTCGGGGGGGGGGAGGGGTTTGAAACCTGCCTCCTAGCTCACGCTGAAGCAAAGAGCACAGCAGGGGCAGAGCAGCCTTCAATAGCCTGCAGCTCCGCCCCTGTCAACCACCCCCACCAAGTCTGGTCTCCTTCATGAGGGCCTTCAAATCTAACCCCCCCCCCCCCAACTTGGTTGCTTCGCTACATCAGCTATTGCTGCAAGTAATGACAGTGTGAATAAATTGTCAATATTTGCTTGAGATAGTGCTTGCAGTTCTGGAGGGACTCTTAATTTTTTTGCATCTCATAGACTTAGCATGGGGATTTGGTTAACCAGTTAAAATTCATGAGTAAACCAGGTTTTTTTAACCTGAAAAATTTCGGGGGGGGGGGGGGTGAACCCCTAAAAATCAGCAACAAAAAAAGTCACTAATAGGCAGCTTAGTTAAAGAATTTATCCTCCCATTATGCATTTTTGTTATTTAAACTATAAATATCGCAAAATTATGGGGGGGGGGAGTTCTCAAAGTGGCACCCCACCTGAATTATGCTTGGGTTTTTTGGCAGATTTTGACACACCAAGCTGAAAAGGTTGCCTATCACTGACCTAGAGGGGGACTCAGACTTTAGACTTTAATAACATACTCTCTGGCCCACAGAAATGAGTTTGTCCTCATAAACCTGGGATGAGAATGGTGAAGTCACCCAGAAGTTGTTCAGCAGCAGTTCCCAGCATTCTTCATCATTGGCTGTTCATGCCAGGTTGCTGGGAACTGGAGTCCAACAACAATATGGAGGACCATATGATGTTGGTAACTTGCATCACCTGAAACTAGCAACTCACATTTTAGAATGCAGCAAAAAGCACCAGGACAGGGTCAGCGAAAAGGTAACATATATCTAAACTGTATGAAAGATGCATTTCTTTCCTTTGTGCCTAATGGAGCATAAAACCATTCACCATACCTAGAAACTTTGTCACTTTCAGAGTAGGCATTTAGAAAAAGAATAACACCACTACCACCTGCAGTTTCAAACTGAGAATGCAAATAATCTGTCTTTGTTGGATACTTAGGGGCAAAGCACTGAAAACCTTGAGTAATGGTTGGAAGGCCTAACTTAATGTATATTTCTCATTTGATTTTTTCAAACATTCCTTAGTATTATCTGTGTTCCTAAGAGACATTGGGCCCATTCTTGTTCTCTGTACTCTCACTCTGGAAAACCCGTTCTCTTTTGCACATAAAAGGAAAACAAGAGATGGGGTGACATTCAAGGGAACTTCCCAGGTCCAGTTTTTTCCTGGCTATTACCAGGCAAAAAGAAATCTCAGTGGCTGCCATTTACCTTTCGTTTAGCTTATCGATGAATTGTGTGGTGAACTGCTTGATATTGTCAACCAATGCCCCAAAAGGCTTTTCTCTTAAGGCAACACTCTCAGATGTATCCAGGACGAAAAACAGATCTACAGGGCAATCTGTTCAAAATCAGAAAGAGGCAGGTAAAAAAGAAAATATGTACCGTTTTATGTGACAATGTTATCCAGAAAGACTGTAATGAATGAGGGATGCCAGAATTATATTTATTTCAGCTCAAATCAAGAACTCTTGCCTTTGGTGTGATGTTACTTGGAATGTATCTTAGCCCCAACCCATTTTTATGGGAATAACACCAACAGACAGAGTAATCATAAAATAATGTATGCATGCACACACATTTATCACATTTATCTATCAAAAAATTCTGATATATATAATCCAGTTGACTACTACTCTTCTCTCAGGATGGCCTAGAACTTTTGTTGATCCAACTTGAAGCATCTCTTACACAGGCCCCATCTATCCTACCATATAATCCAGTTTCTGAATCCAGATTATCTGCTTTGAACTGGATTATGGTAATGTAGGCTCAAATAATCCAGTTTGAAGCAGATAATCTGGACATATGGTACTGTAGTGTTGAATCTGCTCTGAGTTTTAGTCTGAAATGTAAAAGTCTTATTCTGGAGTTTTGGGTCAACATATTGGATATCTCCTTTAAGGCTTGGATTAAAATCTGGGTAGATTAACTGCTCCAGGCCCATTCTACACTGGCATATAAAATCCAGATTATCTATCTGCTTTGAACTAGATTATATGGCAGTATAGACTCGTATAATCCACTTTAAATCAGATAATGTGAATTATCTGATTTGATAAACTGGATTATATTGCAGTGTAGAAGGGGCCCCAGAAATATTAGGGCCAGCAGCTGCTACTGAAAATAAATTCTTGATAAGAAGCCCTGCTGTTAAAGGGAAAGAAAAACAATATTTTGGGTTACACCAGAAATATAATTTAAAATCCCATTTTTTTCACTATGATTACAGATCCTCAGCTCCAGCAGATAATAATACCCATCAGCAACAGTCACAAGCTTTGTGTAGGCGGTTCAGTAATGTAAAAATCTATACGATGAGAATGGTTTGAGACTGTGGTGGTATCTACACTGCCCTATACCCTAGGAACTGATCCCAGATTATTTAAATTGGATTATATTAATCTACACTGCCAGATAATCTGGGATAAGCAGATAATCTGAGATCTGATCCTGGGATATAGAGCAGGAAAGATCCAGTCTGCATTTCATCATGGTCCTGGCCCACTTCCATGCATACAGACTGTTATCTGTACTAAGGTGGTATACACCAATACAATGGAAAGAGGTAGATAGTGATACGTGGAAAATAAATAGTTGTAACCAAAGTTCATATATATGGTGCCAGTACCTGAAAGACTAGGGGCCATTCTACACAGTCATATAAACCAGAATATCCAGTCGGATAATCCATAATATCTGCTTTGAATTATGTTATCTGAATCCACAATGCCATATAACCCAGTTCAGTGTGGATTTTATACAACTGTGTGGAAGGGGCCTTGGGAAAAAAACCTGCTGGTCCTTCACATCAGACAAGTGTGACCTACATCCAACCTACATCCAGCCAAAATGGTGGGTGTAAATAGCGCCTTCAACCCCTCCACTTCCCCCCCCCCCACCGCGGCCGCATGGCCTTGCACAAGATTCTGAGGAGCCACCTTCTCAAATGCAAAGGACTCCAAAGCAGGGCTAGTCAGTGTAATCCTGAGCCTCAGCCACACATACATTTCACTATGTCCCATCAGACTGAGTTAAGATACTTTCTTTGTGGGATGTGTACAACATTAATTTTAGAGATTAACTATAACACTTGAGAGTAAACACTCTTGGAGTAAGATGTGCCAAGTTACTAATTCTGGCATAAATAGGTGGTTGCATCAAACAATGACTACCCCATATGTATATATGAAGCCCCCATTATTATGTATCTCCCCCAACCCTTTCCACAAAACAGATGTTTTCAGCAGAAATTATTTTGTTGCCCTTCTTGGCAATTATTTAACAGGTTATTCAAAATAAAAGAGGAATTCAATTTTTGTTTTTTGAAAATCTAGCCAAACATAGGCAGAGTATCTCAAAATACAATGCAATCGATTTTGTTTATATGCAGCCCTGTAGCAGCCAAGGAATTCCTTTAAAAAAACATGTACAAACTCTTAGCATAATGCATATAACATGTCCAAATTTTCACATTTGTACAAGTCAGGAAACGGAAACATTAGAATGAAAAGTTAAGTTGTTACGCCTGTGCTGGGAAAAGACGGCAAAGTTTGAGTAGAATGTGCAAAGATTTGGAAGGTATACTATTCCAATGTAGATAAAAGTCACTGAAAGAAAACAATACACTATGAAAGTATAGTCTTACCTTGAAAAGTTACCAGGTTGTTGGATACATCTGACCCTTGAGCGAACACCCTTCTTAACAGAAAACAATCCTGAAGTAGCAAGGTAAAGAAAAAGTATGCTAACCTCATCTTGAAAGGAACACCGTTACCATTTACTGAGACTCAAGGGGCCCAGAGAGGAAAAGGAGGAGTGGGAAAGAAGCTTGAAATTAAAGAAAGGCAATGTTTTCCCCTAGTTTGCAATTTTTATTTAGTTTCTACTCTGTCCCTGAGATTCCAAAGAGAGAAGGAAGAAGCAAAGGGAATTAAGGCGGAGAAGAGGTTGTGGATGTAGCAAGAGCTGGAAGACTCCTTCCAGAGGGGAGGGAACATCACACACACACATTCAGCCCAACTGCAGCACTAGCTGGTGAGTCATGAAACAAACCAGCCCATTTTGAAATTTTCCTTCTCTTAACTCAGTGCCACTATTATTCTCAATATGGCTGTGCTTCCAGAGACTATGATCTAGCACCCATTGATATGTAATTAATAGGGCTGGGCGGTTTCGTTTCGTAATTTCATAATTCGTTAAAAATTCGTTATTTTTTTGTTAACGAAGCGATAACGAACCATTCTGGAGCAACTTAAAAACGAAACGAATTTTCAATTATTCATTATTGATTCGTTATTGATTCGTAAATGTTTTGTAAATGTTTCGTTATTATTTCCGCATGTCTGGTGCAAGTTTTAGGGTTGCTGTTTGTTTTCTCAGTGAAAAAAAATAATTATCACACCAACAGTCAACAACAGAGGGAGAGGGAAGCTTCAGAAGTTTTTTTAGCGTATTGCGCGATCGCGGCCGCCATTAACGAATCGATTTGTAATCGATTCGTAATTGTTTCGTAATTGTTTTATGATTTCCGAAATTTCGTAAATATCGAACTTTTTTTAAGGAAAATTTCGGAATTCTTTTAAATAACGAAACGCAAAAAACCCTAAAAACGAATCGAGTTTAGAAACAAATTTTTCCGTGTTTGGACAGCCCTAGTAATTAATATATATGCTCTCTGCTCTTCGGTAACTACACTGATGAAGGAATTAAAATGCCACCCCAAATATTATAGGAGGTTGACTGCGTGATGAAACGTCTTGCAGTTTTCTGGAGGCATGAGGAGTATATCAAACTTGCAGAGGTACTCTGAGGAACATCCAAGAGAACAAACTTTGTTTCTCTTAGGATCGCACTTTTCTAATATGTGCCACAAATATGAGGAAAATAAAATGTGAAAAACACAATGAAAATAAAAATGGGATACAGTTGCCTGTTGCATACTATTTTGTATGGGTTTAATACGTTTGAACTAATTAAAGGCCCCTTCTACACTGCTGTATAAAATACAGATATTCTGGTTTGAACTGGATTATAGGCAGTGTAGACCCATATAATCCAGTTCAAAGTAGATAATATGGATCATCTGCTTTGATAATCTGGATTATATGTCAGTATAGAAGGGTCCTTCGTTTACAGCCTATGTTGGAGATATATTCTCACTTTATTACACAGAGGCATTTTGGATCCTTGCAACATTTTGGTGATGGGGCCTGGTGAGCATTATCACATGACATTTGGCAGGCCCAGCCAAATTTATCCTCAAAGTGCCAGGGAAGCATTGCAAGACATTTCCTTGGCCACAACGCCTTCATAAGTATTCTGTTGGTAGCTCCATTGGAGCCCCTGGAGAAGTTATACACCTTTTGGGGAATTGTTTTACGGAGATTTTGTTTCTTAAAATAAAAGAAATTCCTAAAAACCAGGGAATACCCCAAACATTATGAAACTTGGTGGGCTAACAGTGATAGATGTGTCCTTCAAATGTGGTCATTTTTGTCCTGACAGCTCTAAAATGACAGGAAGGGGAGCCCACAGAGCCCCAACCCCCGTTGCACCAATGGGCCGGATCTAGCGATATTTTCTGGGTCTGGACCGAAAACGGCTATACAGCTACCCGTTCATTTTCGGGAGGCACACAAAAATGAATATGGGGGTCTACTGGAATTTGGCAAGTAGAAACAGATTGTGCTTTAGCCAAAATGCACAAGCCTACTATGAGTAACTCTGGATTAGGTGTGGGTATTTACCTGTCAGTCTAGCTCTGGCTGTCCCTTTTTCACTCCTTAAATCTAGACCTTTCCCATGCTTTACCCTTCCATTCATTAATCTCCCTCCACCCTGAGTTCTCATGTTCTAGACAAAACTCTAAATAGATGCCAAAGACACCTGAGGAATGCCTGGATAATAAACATCTCCATCCTGTATATTCATATCAATCCACCCAAAAATTCAGTCTGTGAATAGGGAACAGGAGACCTTCCTAACGTTGTTGGACTGCTGAGGCATTTCTCACCTTTGGCTAAGCTGGCTAGAGGGCTGCTTTGACTAGAGTCTGACAACATCTGGAAAGCCATATGATTCTCACAATTGATTTAGCCAGATCCAGTGCATGTTTATTTAGAAGGCAATCATAGTACATTCAGTAAGAATTTAGTCCAAAGTCCTGTGGCTGGAATTCCAGTTTTCCTCAACTGTTCAGCTATTCCAAATAGCACGAAATACTAGGTCTTATCTCAAACCATCATCTTGGCTGATGGTGAATAGAGATGGTGTGTGCACAAGTTAGTAACAGGAAGATTCAAACCTGTTGTGTATTGACTTGAATCTAATGCTCACCTTTTTTGGCTAAATTACATTCCTAGAATTAGGGTGCACATTAGATTCATGTCATATGGTAATCTTAGTGGTGAGCCAAAGCAAAAGGTGAAGCTACTTCAGGAGCTCCTGGAGCTTCTATTTGAGGAATGCCATCTCTAATTTAATGGCTATGGCTCAATGTTATGCAATGCTGGGATTTGAAGCTTGGCGAGGCACCAGCATTCTTTGACAGCCCTGATGATCCCAAACTACAGCCCCCATGAACCCATAGCATTGAAGTAGATTCATTTTTCAGCATAGCTGCACCACAAGGTTTTCTTTGAAAACGTTGGTGTTCTAAAAATTTTGTTATTAAAGAAGGAATTCAAAGCAGGCAAGTGTGATGAATTGCCTACCTTATAGGCCAGGGAAAAGCTCAGGAAGTAGGCTCAGTTATTTTGTCATTTTGTGAGATGGTGCATAGAGGCAGCCATCTTAGAGTAGTCATTTCCTAGAGGAGGTGGAGCTTAGGAGCTGCCTAGAGGGAAATGTGGAGAACCTTTGTGATTGGCTGGGAGAAAGTGGGTGGAGCTTAGTTAGAGGGCAGAACAAAATGCCTGAAAGGGTGTGTTTTAAAATCTGACAGTTTAGTCAGGGCTTGAGTGTTGAAGAAGAAAGTTAGCTTTTGGGAGAATTAGGAGAAGAGAAGTTAGAGAAGCCAAAGAGGTTAGTTGGAAATTACAGATAGCTATTAGGAAGAATAACTGATATAGAGAATAGACAGATCCAAGGGAATGGACTGTCTGGAGGAATTGGAATTCTAGTCAGAGGGAAGTCTGCTAGCTTCCTGAGGAAGTGAAGAGTTGTTATTGGAACCAAGTATTGTACTATTTTAAAGTAGCTATAAGCTTCATCTCATTATTGCAACCATTATGCTTAAGTGCCTGTATTTTTTGAAATCCATACAAATAAACAACTTTGTTCTTTGTTAAACAACTGTCTCAAGAGTGCCTCTTTGTCTTCCATAGAAGTTTAGGGAAACAGTTTAGGGAAACAGAGTTTCCAGAATGGTGGCAGCAACAACTTAGGAAAATCTCAGTGTTATTCACCTCAGTGTTCAGCGCCCTGAGGGCGAATTCAGCACATTACAGCTTGCTAAAAGGCTCTGGTCAAACAAGAACTGAAAACATTCCTTTTCAGTGTGGTGGTAGCTAGTTTCCATACTAAAGTTTCCTCAGAATACAAAGTTTGGTGGCAAAGACTCTGCAGCCTCTAAGCATTTGAGTCGTTTTAAATAATAATCATTTACATTTGGCGAGCAGCATTGGGACTGTTAGAATAAACAATTCTTTACAATTGTTTGGGAAGCGGTTGAATAAAGGGTACCTCCCCCCCCCCCCCCCCCCCCACCGCCAGAAGATCGTTTAAGTTTTAATCAGCCTCTGAATTAATCGATCTAATCAAATTAAACGACGTAATCCTTTACAGCAAGCATTATAATGTGCATGTTTTTGGTCCAAGTTACAAAGGGTGCACTTTGGGATCTGCATGACATTCGCCAGCAAATACTGTTTTTGGTTTCAGGGCTTTGAAAACTGAGGTACATATTAGACTCGAGTAAATATGGAATAGCTTCAGACTATGATTTTTGGATGGCGTGATTTTAATATTGAGTGTAATTTTTAAAAATATGTATTAATTTCAATTCAATGGATTTTAAGCTTAATGTTGTATGTGTTTTAGGCATTGAATAATTGCCATATGTAAGCCACTTTGAGTCCCCCTTGGGGTTGCGAAAGATGGGGTATAAATAGGATAAATAAATATAGTATTTTAACCAGCTGTTGCTGAAATATTTCAGGTCAGTAAGCAAAATCCCATGTGATCATCCCTATAAAACAATGCTACAGTACATCTAAGTACGGACAATTCTAGATATAAAGGGCTAGATCATACTTGATATGATGGGTTTAATTTCATACATATGAAAATTGAAAATTTATTTGCTTTATGACTTCATGTGAAGAAAACAACATAAACATAAATAAAATACATGCACACTTTGTATTTTAAATAACTACTGCACTTGAATTTTAAAAAGCTGAAGAAACAATATTGTAATATTAGAAAGCCCCCAATTTGGAAAATGTAAATCATGAATTTTTTACAGTATAAAGCCTCTTAATTGAAATCTTTAGCCAAGACACCTTAGAGCAGTGGTTCTTAACCTTCCTAATGCCACGACCCCTTAATACAGTTCCTCATGTTGTGGTGACCCCCAACCATAACCCTAACATTATGAATCGCCATGTAAATAATGACCTTCAGGATGTATTTTCATTCACTGGAGCAAATTTGGCACAAATACCCGGTATGCCCAAATTTGAATACTGGTGGGGTTGGCGGGGGATTGATTTTGTCATTTGGGAGTTGTAGTTGCTGGGATTTATAGTTAAAATGTAAACAAAGAGCATTCTGAACCCCACCAACAATGGAATTGAACCAAAGTTGGCACAGAGAACTTCCATGACCAACAGAAAATACTGGAAGGGTTTGGTGGGCATTGACCTTGAGTTTGGGAGTTGTAGTTTGCCTACATCCAGAGAGCACTGTGGGCTCAAACAATGATGGATCTGGACCAAACTTGGCATGGATACCCAATATGCCCAAATGTGAACATTGATGGGGTTTGGGGAAAATAGACCTTGACA